CCAATTCTATTCATTTCTACAAAGATGTGGTAGTTCCAATGGGCTTCAATATTACTTTTGGGCAGCGACAATAAAAGTTGTTATAAACCATTTTGGTGTTTATAGCTATGTTTTTGACCTATGTTCATGTCTATCACAACCGTCCTTGGCGGTGTGGACGGTTGTGACACTCGCTCTTTTCTTGCATAATTTTATTTTATGACAAATCTATCGTATTTAAGGATAGTAATTCAGTATTTTCACGTAGGCAAATGTTCAAATTACCATTTTATTTACTTTCCTTCCAGCTAATTGAAAATAATAAAATTATGGCTGATAAAAAACAGTACCTAGTCGCTCCTATTCATAGTAAGCTGAACATTTTATTTTTTATAGATTGAATGGAAATTTCCTTTTTTCTTAAAAAATGTTAAAAATCATTTCATAGAATCATCCTAAAAAATATGTGATAACAACAAGCAAACATGGATTCTCCACAAAGACACGGGTATACCTACAATTCAAGAACATATATCAATGTTTGCCTGTAATTATACGAATAGAATTGACGCACATCCAAACCAACTAGCATGCAACTTATACCAGGAAGGCCAGCCGACCAGGCTCAAAAGGAAAATACCTCGAGATTTATTATAGTTTATTTTTATATATATTTTTTTCTCTATATTTGTCTTTAGTTTTTTCTTTTTTATATATTAACTATAGTAGATACACCACTGGGCGTATCTACTAATTTGTAAACAACCAATTGTAAGCACTTGTCAGCATTCTCTGCTAAATATAATTATTTTTATAGATTGCAGAATGAAAATAAAATAAAAAAAGCAAGAAGTAACACTATATCAAAACATATTAATATTGTAAGTTTTAACAGTGATGATCATACCATATAGCTACTTAAGCAGCACCTAAAATATAAAATTCGCTCAACAACCTATAATTGAATTCTCGTCGCTAATTCACAGAATCTAAACCAGAATCTTCGTTTTTTTTCTGGAGAACATCGAGTGCAATTATTCTAAAACCGTTTAGATGGCTCATTCGTGGAAAAGAAGGGCGTTGACTCGGCACAATCTAATTGACAAAAAATCGTCTGGCCGTTTTCTGTCAACGACCACGTCGCTCGCCATGAGCCAACGTTATCTCTACAGGACGACGTTGTCGTAAAAGCACATCCAACTCTCAGCAGGGAATACACATTGTAGAGCCTCTTCTAATAGGGATGAACTCAGTGATCACGGAAAGTGGACAAGCGAAATCGATGTTTACAATAATGGACGATTTATTTTCTTTGCCGCTTTCGAATAAACCTTGTTGGAATATTTAAGTAATGATATCTAATCAATCTACTTGGTCAAACGTCTTAGACGGATTTTACATGATTCGACAATTTTTTTCATTGGCTCTTGATTTACATCATTTGGCCAGGTGCCATTCGTACAATTGCTTGAATCTTATTACGTAATTAACTTATAAATTAATCTTTGCATTCTTAATAGAATTTATAAATACATATGTTTCGACTTATATACAGATATTTTATGTATGAAGTAAGAGGTACCAGCTTCTTATATACATTATCAAATCAATTAGTATAGATTGGTATTACGATCTATTAGAAATAGAACTATAAAACTATGCCATAAATCAAACGAATGGAATGTTAATTAATTCTTATATGTATAGATATATAGAGGAGATTGGAAACGCACGTGCCACTTTTAATTGATCAATCATAATTTTGTTTTTTCAGTTAGCTGAAAGAAAAGTAAATTAAATGGCAAGTTGTACATTTGTCTACGTGGAAGTACTGAAATACTGTCTTTAAATTCAATGGAGTAGTCATAAAATCAATTATTACAAGAAAATAGCAAGTGTCACAACCGACCCCACTCTAAGGTTGGTTGTGACATGTATAAAAATAGGTTAAAAAACATTAGGTATAAATAATAAAATGGTTCATAACTACTTTTATTGCCATAAATATGTAACACAAAGCAACATTTAAACAGGGGTTTTGAATATAATATAAAAATATATAACAAGACATTCTTTGTTAAATCTTTGTTAAATCTTTTCTTTTTCTTGTATTGAATTTTTCTTTCCTTTTCTCTTTCGTATTTGGTATTAGTTAAGTTATATTTTTCTCTCTCTGTTTAATTATTTTACCAGCAATTAGAACTCGAGTATCCTATGAGCTCTTTTGAGTATATTACTAAACTAATTACGTCCGACTTCATAGATTGCAACCCAAACAATTGTCTCACCTCTATGTGATAAATTTTATTATAATTTCTGTAACAGTGATGATTTATATTATTTTATTATTTTCACTTGGAAGCATATTGCTATCTATTGCTAAATAAAAACGGTTGTCACTGCTGCTTGACATCAGGTTTTCCGATCAAACCTGGGACCTATTTTTTAAACTCCATAGTTAACTACTAATCTACGGTTGAATCTTTACTAGTAAAAAAATGAAAATTATGGAAATTAACTGATAGTTTTTTTATGAAATGTCTGAAAAAGTACAGATCCCTGAGACCGCGAAAGGTAAATAAAGTAAATAAATCATAGAAATTACTTTAGTTAATTTTGAAATTATATATTTATTATATGAATTGAGCACAATTTAATTTTAAGAATAATTATAAGGAGCTCAATTTTTATATTATCAATTTCTTCATATTTAGTATTCCATGCTTATTATGAACATGATTTTTCGATATTAATTTTAAGTGAATATTAACCAATTAATTTATTAAAATTGAATTTATTTGAACGCACGCACGTGTTTAAATGTTGCTTTTTTATATCTTAAAGTATTGAAGATATTGTACGCAAGGATATTATAAATGTTTTCTTACTCTATTTATACAATATTTATGCAATTTAAATAATTATTGAGAAGCATTATTCTAATCGGCAAATACGTTACTGAAAATTAGGATACATTTAAGATCTAAAAGTACCTAAACGAACCAAAACAAATTGTGTTCAGCTGCTTTGACTATGGGTTCATGATTTTTTATATATTTTATTTTCATCAGCAATCAGAATACAGTACAATGCAATGAGCTATTTGGCATATATCAGTGGTCGGGGAACCGCGGTAAATTACCCCAAATGGGGTGAAAATGGACTTTTTGTGGGTAAAAAATGTGTATTTTTAATTGATATTCACTGTATTTGCTACGTAGTTGTCCGTATGGGGGTAAATCTCTCTTTGCCATTGGGGTAATATCAACTTAGACAAAATTATTTTGGGGTAATGATTAAAAAAGTTCTTCCGAACGCTGGCTTATATCATTCACTCACACACATACACACACTTTCAAACACACACATGAATTATTGTGAAAAATTTTACTAAATCGATATATAGTTGGAGAATCACTCCAATAAGTGATTCGCCAATTCTGTTCATTTCTACAAAAATGTGGTAGGGCCAAAGGTCTTCAATATCATCTTTGTGCAACTTCTTCTTCAGTCTTCTTAAGATTGGCGTCTCAAGAAGCTGAGTGACTATTGAATTTGAATGATGTTCCAATTTTTGAAAATGTTGAACACTGTTTATTATTATTACTCTGTTTATAAATTCTTTATTAAGATCGTCGTGTAAGGTCTTATTGCTCATGAATCAAGGTTGATGATTGAATAGAAAATTAATTATTAAATTACTAAAATTAAGTGCAATATATTTTATCAACATCTGTTAAAAAATTTCAAAAAAAAATTACTTCCAATAGGGTAAGTTATTGTAATCGTCCAAAAATCAAAATTGAAAGTTTTTGCATATCTTTACGTTTTGAAGGTTTCTGAACATTTTGGCATACCTTAGAAAAAATGTATGTATGTATTGATACAACTTTTCATCCACGTTTTCGAGCGCATGGAACAACTGATTTGAATGGTTCAAAAAATATTCGATTTCTATTGATAGGCAGATGTGTTGATTAGTTTTTGGCAAAGGCAGGTCTTGCTAGTTCGGAGATACGGAGCTAAATATGCAAAAAGCAGCAGTTTTTGAGAGAACTAAGCATTCGATTAGAATGATTCAAAAAACTTTCTGCTTATGTTGACGAAACTATTGCTTTTGCTAAAAGATTTTTTTTTTATTTCTATAAAAAAAATTTTTTTCTAAATTTTATTTTTCGAATATTTTTTTTATGGTACGAGAAGTTCCAACAATTTGCCTTAAGGCACGATGCCAGTCAACACTAGTTTTTGTTTCATTATATACACTTTTTAAATTCGAACCTGTTTTATACAGTTTTTAATCATCATTTGATTAATTAGTATAAATAACTAGCAAACCCGACGAACTCCGTTTCGCCATCAGGTGGTTTCGTGAGAAAGATGAAGAAATTTTTTGTTTGTTTTATATTTGAAAAGGAAAAATTTGATCAGGAAGAAAAACCCGACTTATTTATATATATATATATATATATATATATATATATATATAGAAGATAATCTATTTGCAATTATTTAAAACAATTATTGATTATTTTTATTACTCGAATTTTTAATTACGGTGCGTGAAGTTCCAGCAATTTGCATTAAGGCACGATGCCATGCACCACTAATTTTCTTAGCGTTTCACTAATTCTCGTGCGTTCTGGAGTTATTTCGTCATGAAGAAAAACCCGACTTATTTTTATATATATATAGAAGATTACAACTGTTTGAATTTATAAAATAAACTTTAATCATTTTTCCCCAATTTCGATGTCCGTTTACCACCACTACCCCGGTTCGATCTGGCAGAGCGCGCGTGTCCGTCTGCGGTCGTAGATTAAACGCTATCGCTGCCTTTTCATAGAACTATAATTAAGTTAAAGACAAAATGTTGCGACATGTTTATAGGAAATAAGTGCGATTCATTTTGTTCATGTTCTCGGTGATAGTGTAATTATACCAAATTCCCAAAGGCAATAGAACAATAATTATTTGATATGTTTATATCTGTTACAGAAAAATTCATAAAAGGTGTTGAAGTGATGGGTTTGAGATTAGGTTAGGTTAAAATGTTATTCTAACGCAATGCGGTGTATTCGATAAGATGAAATAATATTAAATCCAACTTTCTCCTCCAAGAAATTATTTATACTACAGTGGTGTCATATGTAATATCTTTCCATATAATTGTTTGCATTTTACTATGGTTTTTAATTAAGAGATTTTAATATGAGCGCTAGGGGTAATTTATAAGAGGGGTGACTAACGACAGACGTTTTTCAATAGGCTCTTAAACCATATTATAATTATTTTATCTCGATTGGACATGTAAACCGTCCTTCCTTAATATTGTCATAGCAACTGTCCCGTAGGCCGACAAAACTGTGCAGGTCCGTCATTTTTGACAGGTAATATAAGATTGATCAAAAAATTTCGGTCTGTGATAATGTGTAACAAATATTATGATTGCTAAATTGTATGAATAGTGTTTTGATTCACATCTGGGGTTAGTTGAAACAAAAAATCTGGGGTTAGTTGAAAATACAGATTCAAGTGAAGAAGATTAGGTGGAATTTATAGTTTATAATATGTGGGCCTATGTAAATTGTGATACAGGAGACACTATATATTTTATTTGTATTATGATAATAATTTTAGTTTACTTTGATTTATGATAAAAATTTATATTGCAGGAGACAATATATATTTAATTTGTTTAATTATAGTTTGCGTTGATTTATGAAAAGAATTACTTAGATACAAGTAAGTTTTCTTAAAAATGAGTAGAGAATAAATTATCAGAGGTATTATTATCGTTACTACTTACCCCGGCAGTTGTTATAACTAGTCCCAAACACGGGGTATGTTGTAACACGGCATTTTTTCAAGAAAACGATTAATTGTTAAATAATTAACAATAGTTATAGTGTTATTTTTACTTGATTTGGTGGAGGAATAGTTAGAGTAAGTAGCCATATTTATTTCGTAAAAATATAATCAGTGGATCTCAAGATATATTAATTTGAAAAAAAAAATTGTTACAACAAGCCCCTAGCTCATCTATATAGATAACATATTTTATTTTAAACTATATTATAACGGCAAAATATTGTACATATATGTCAAAATCCTATTTTTCCTCTTTTATTTATGTGAGTTCTACCCAAATAATTACTAAATATCATTTCTTGACAGATAGTAATTTTTACTGGAAAAAATTGAACTCTAAACTATTTTTTAATTAAAAATTAAAATTATAAATGTATGAATGTAATCATTTTTAAGCAATTTTTTATTGATTTATCTGTTCTTTATTTTAATTTTTCCCTTAAATATGTTGAAGAATTACAAATACTGATTGCACTGACATAAGTAGTAAATAAGGTAATTTGATTTAAAATAATAAAAAAAAATTTTGCTACTAAAAATATGGTTTTACTACTTTGAAATTCAATTATGTTGTCAGTGTTTTAGTTATTAAGCACCTAAAATCCATTTTTATATATTGCATTATTATTAATTTCACTATGTCTGATATGCTGATAATTTGTTATGTGACAAAATACACATTAAAATTAGAATTTGGCAAAATCATATTCCATGTTGATGATTATTTTTTTCTCACGCCTATCAGGAGCCTATTTTATTTTTGATATATTTTTGTCTGAAGTTATCTTTTCCTAATTGTGACATTTTTAATTCTTCCGGCATTGCCCGGAACTTTATTGGAAAACATATTTATATAATATTTAAAGATAAATATTTAATGAAACAGAATGTCAATAGTGGTTTCATATGAAATCTTTCCATACAATTGTTTGTATTTTACTACGATTTTTACTTAAGATATAATCATCTATTTTATTAACTTCCCGTAATGTAAGTTATAGTAATCGCAAAAAAATCGAAAATGAAAGTTTTTATATATCTTTACGTTACAGACGTTTCTGAACATTTTGACATTCATTAAAAAAAAATGGATGTGTGTGTATGTATGTAATGGATGTGTGTGTACAAATTTTTGTCGACGATTTCGGGAACACGGTTCAACCGATTTTAATTATTCAAATAATTCGATAGCTGTTTATAAGGAGACGTGCTGATTAGTTTTTGGCATAGGCAGGTCTAGCCGTTTCGAAAAGTTTCGAAAGTGCCACAAACGGTAACTCAATTTTTTTCAAAAAAATAATTTTTTTTCAAAAATTTATAGTTTCTCAAAAATCTATTTTTTTCAAAGTATTTTTTTTCAAAAATGTTAATCTTTAAAAAAAAAAAATTTTTGGTACGGGAAGTTCCAGCAATTTGCCTTAAGGCAGAATGCCATGCGCCCCACTAGTTGTATTTATTATTGCAGTGACTGAAATAGTACTATATTAACAATTCCATAATACATTCATGTCGGCAACATATTGAAATGTGTTTCTGATAAAAATTAACCCACTATAGCAATAAATATATATTTTTTTAATAAAATATTGATATAATTTTGTAAAGATTTAAATTAAATGCATCTAAAAGTACTATAAAACTGCCAATAAAATTTTAATAAACCCATAACTCAACGTAATTTTAAATATAAATAATATTTTTCTCTCGTGTAGAATATATGCGTGAACCTTCTTCATCGTTTTTATGCAAATTTCATATCTGAAAACGTAAGATAACCTTTAATTTACACGTGCTATTAAATTCTAAGCGTCATTTTTATCCAATCGTAATGATTTTATGTTCATATTACCGTATATACCGATATTGGAGGAATACGTTCCGAGTTATTGATACCGTATACGGAAAGCTTTTTTATATTCGAACTCGTGCAAGTCCATATACTATTGGTACAGACAGACAGCTGAACATCTTTGAATAAATTCAAAATTTTATTGACAATGATAGATATGACTTCAATATATGACATTTTAGAATACGTGGGTATGCTTGGTTCAATATATATTTACTATAAATTTTCCTCTATTTGATTTTGATTTGTTCGATATGCTGATTGAATTTATCGTTTTCTTATATACTATACAATAAGTATTGATTAATTTGGTTAAACTAGTGGTGCATGGCATCGTGCCTTGAGGCAAATTGCTGGTATTTCCCGTAACATTTTTTATTAAACTTTTTAAAAGGTCAGAAGAAAAATTAGATTTTTTTGTACATTTTTGAAAAACTTGAACATCGAAAAAATTTAAAAATATGTCTTCTTTGAAAATACTGATATTTTTTGAAAACTGTAATTTCTTGAAAGTTTTTGATACTCATTCATGTCGGTTGATCCATATTGTCGAAAATGGCATTTTTAAATTTTTTTTTTCTTCGCAAAAATGTAATCACTTCTTCATTACGTTAATACAAGTGGAATGCTTTTTGAAGAATTGCTATTTTGCTGCACTCTTTGCTCCGTATGTTTATCAATAGGAATCGAATGCTTTTTGAATAATTCAAATCGGTTAAGCGGTGCTTCCTAAAACGCCGAAGAAAAATTGTACCCGTACATACACACATACTACACACACATACAATCACTTTTCCTAAGGTATACCAACATGTTCAGAAACATCTGAATTGTCCAAAATGTTCAGAAACGTCAATACACATATGTTGTATTTTTATTATTAGAATTTATCAAATACTGATTATGTATATTTCATTTGATGCAGCAATGTCGGGGAAGGGCCATTTTTATTTGCACTATTTGAACTATTTCAAATTATATTTTCAAGTCAAACCCGATATCACTAGTGGTTGATATATGTCCGGCCAAGGTGGGTAATGAACCTACAACCCTGTAGTTGCAAAATCCAAACTCTTACCACTGAACCACACGAGCCCAATAATGTAAAAATTTAAATAAAAATTTCAGAAAATAACCTCTTTATTGAAACCTACGATCTGGTGTTCCAGGCTTCTAATATTTTTCGAACGTTTTTCTATCTAATAGTTTTTAAAGACCATAAGGGCACAAAGAACCCATAATGATCACTATGAGGTTTCTGTTCGATTTTTTTCAAATAATTAAAAAAAAAATTCGTAAATTTTATTATTTTAGTTTAATACTCAATATCCAGTTTTTATTTTTTATACAAATATTAATGTAAGGCAGTAGTAGAGTGTTTGTCTTGCTACCAAACAGTTTCTTGTTCAAATCCTGCGTTGCATTTTCTCCTCATATCAAACACTAGATCTAATGTAGCTCATAAATAAGTCTCAAAATAAAAATAACTCTTTTGGGTATTACTGCAAAGAGTTAACATATCGTTCTAATTCGAAAACGTCAACCAATGAAGTGCTTTCTAGTAGCTATTAGTTCAAATAATTGTTATAACAGCTTTTAGAATACCAAATTCTGATTGCCCTGTTTTAGCAAACAAATAAAATATTTATTTTATCCCGTTTCCTCAGCTCTTGTACTGTTACATAACAAAATGACTGAATTTTATGATATTACATAAACCACATAAAAATGTTCATAATGTTTGCAAATTGCGTCGATAAAATGCTCTTTTTTTATTTATCCGCGGCCGATGGATCGGACGGACGCTGTCATTTTTACGATAACGCATGTAATATTTTTTTATAAAATGTATACGAGACTGATAAAATGTTTGACGAGTTTACCTTCAAATTATTTTATTATGTTTATTCGTGATTAAAATTATTTAATGCAATTTTGAAAAACTAAAGACAGAACTAAACTTAAATTTCTTATTAAAAATCAACTGTATCAGCAAAAATATATTTTATACCTACTGAAGCAATTTCATTCAAAATATAAATTTTAATGTGTTATAATTTTTATATTAACCCTCCGTCGGTCGGCGTGGTCCGGCCTGACTTTTTTCGACTTCAATTAAAAAAAAAAATACTTCTAGTAATCCTATCGACTTGAAATTTCTTGACTTTTCCTAAAATTTCATTAGCTGACGATCAATGAAAAAATCAGGACGAAACAATGTACAGAAGGATAATTATAAGGATATTAACTTTTTTATACTTGGAACGGTCGGAAAGGTCTGTCTAGACCACCCATACATTTTGTATGAAATATACGCTTTTTGATAAATGTAAACTAGTATTTTGTCTTTTTTCATGGTATTTTCTATTCAAACTGCGTTGTTTATATTCTTTGCTATGTGTTCTAACATGAATGTTAGTATTTTCATGACGAGAGTTCCTTGAAAACCTACCAAACTTATTGGTAATCGCAAACACTGAAAATCGGATGAATAATGCACACATTATCAACAATTTTTCTACATGTACTGCGCTCGAAATTTTTTTGGCAAACCTGTAGTGAAATTATATTTCACTTTGAGTGTTACAGCTCATTTCAAAGGCGACACACCTCATTTTGTTTTTATTTGAATTTCACATTCGTTTCAAAGGCGCCGAAAAAGAATAAATATTATTTTTCATTGATTTAAAACAGAAAAATTAACAAAAAAGTAACGATTTTTTTTATATTTCTTGATTTTTTTATATAATCGTTAATATATAAGACACCAAAAACTCATTTATCCCATATAAATGCATGTAAAATGAATGGTGGTCCAGCCAGACCTTTCCGACCGTTCGAAGGTGAAAAAATATCCGACCAACGGAGGGTTAAAATAAGTTAAATTTAATTGCATATTAGATCAATTGCTATCAATTTAAATGTAAGATTATAGCTTTAATTATCTAATTGTTTTTCAACGAATAATATATTATACTTAGCTGCAGTGCATTTTTTTAAATTTGAATAATTATATATTTTATAACTAGTGGTGAATGGCATCGTGCCTTAAGGCAATTTGCTTGAACTTTCCGTACGTTAACGAAATGTCGAAGAATTTTAAATGTTTTCAAATAGATAATTTTAAGCACTGTAACTTTCATTATTCAAAGTTTAAAGATAAATATAGAGCTTATAAATTGTATGACGACATTTAAATACGCCTACATAAAAAGTAAATAAATAAAACTTAATCAAGCGGAGTTAATTCTAAATTAAAGAACCTTATCTCATATTTCTAAGAATTATATCAATTGAATTGCAAAGTTAAAATTATTTATTTCAAGTATGTAATTAAGCCTTAGAATTTTAGCTAGAATTAAAATTAAAATCCGAATTATTTTCGATATTAAAAAAGATGTTTTTAGATCATTCAAATCGATATGTATGTATCATACATTATCATACATTCAATTTTTTAATGTATGTCAAAATGTTTACCTTTGAAATTTAAAGATATGCAAAAATTTGCATTTTCCATTTTTTGCGATTACTATAACTTACCCTACGGGAAGTTAATAAAAACTTTAAAATATTAATGCTTATTTCTTAGACTTCAAAATAATTATCTATGGTTCAAGATATAAAAATAAACTAGCTGTAAGTGGAATTCTGTCTTGAGGCAGTTATGGCATCGTGCCTTAAGGCAAATTGCTGGAACTTCCCGTACCGTAACGAAATGTTCGAGGAATACTGAATGTTTTCAAATAGATTATTATAAATATTGTAACATTGTATAATATTTATAAGAATTATATAAACTGAATTGCAGAGTTGAAATGATTTATAAAGTATATTAGAACTATAGTCAGAATTAAAAATAAAATCTGAAATATTTTCGATATACAAAAAACTAAAAAAAAAAAAAAAAAAAAGTTGGAACAAAATTTTTTTTTTCCAAAATCAATTATTTTGCAAAGACAAGCAGAAAGTTCTTTGAATCATTTAAATCGGACGCTTAGTTCTCTCAAAAACTGCCATTTTTTACATATTTTGCTCCGTGTCTTCAAAATGGCTGGGCCTGCCTTTGCCAAAAACTAATAAACACTTCTCCCAATCATTACTAATTGAATGTTTTTTAGATGATTTAAATCGGATACTCCGTTCTCTCAAAAATTCGATTTCTATTTTCTGCACTCTTTGCTCCGTATCTCCGAAACGGCTGGACCTGCCTTTGCCAAAAACTAATCAGCTCTTTTCCCTATCAATAGGAATCGAATGTTTTTTGAACCATTCAAATCGGTTGATCCGTGCGCCCTAAAACGTGACTGGAAATTTGTATCCATACATACATACACACACACACACATACACACACACACATCCATTTTTTCTGAGTTATGCCAAAACGTTCAGAAACCTTCAAAACGTCGAGAAATGTAAAAATTTTCAATTCCGATTTTCGGCCCATTACAATAACTTACCCTACGGGAAGTTAACTAGTGGGGCGCATGGCATCGTGCCTTAAGGAAAATTGCTGTAACTTCCCGTATCAAAAATTATTATTTTTTTAATAACGAATAACATTTTTGAAAAAAATTTACTTTGAAAAAATTAGATTTTTGAGAAACTATAAATTGGACACAATTTTTTTTTTTTTGAAAAAAAATGTTTTCTTTATTTTGACATATTTCGGAAGATCTGATTTTTTTTTAAAGCAATCGTACTGCTTTAACTGCATGTAGACAAAATATAAAGCGAGTAAGCGCCGCGTCGCCGTCTAACGGATAAACATTGGTACGGAACTCATAGGAATGTAAACAAAATTCATACTTATTGTTAAAATCTTTATAAAATATCTGATAATTTGATGTGCATATGTCTAATGATCATTTTTGACCGCCAAATGGCATATTTTTTTACTTTTTTCGTTAGATCTCCGAAACCGCTATACCTGCCCTTCTTTATCTTATCAATACAAGTAAAATGTTTTTTGAATTATTAAAATCGGACGCTCCGTTCTCGTAAAAACTGAGTTATCGTTTTCGATACTTTTTGCCCCGTATCTTCGGAACGGCCAGCCCTGCCTCCGCCAAAAACTAATCAGCACGTTTCCTTATTAATACGAATCGAATGTTTTTTGAATTATTCAAATCGGTTGATCCGTGTCGACAAAAACTTGTATCCGAACACACACACACACTCACACATACATCTAAGGTATGCCAAAATGTTCAGAAGGTTTTGAAACGTAAAGATATATAAAAATTTTCATTTTCGATTTATTTGCGATTGCTATAACTTGCCCTATAGGAAGTTAAAAAAATGTTTTAGGAATTTACTGTAGAAATTTAATTAATGCTTTACACATTGTTATGATTTTTTATGATGTGCATATGTACACATATGAAAATATGTTGGATAGTAGAAATCGAGCTTTTTCATACAAATTTTCTGCCCATTTGATTTGTTTTGCAGCAGAGTTTTTTTCAAATATGAAAAGTATTTTCTCTAATTATAATAGTACAAATTTGGAATGATCTTTCATCCCCTATCGGTTCAATTTAATAACCTCGTCTCTATTAGTTTTTTATGGCATGTTATAAAGTAACAGACGAGTAGATGAGATCAAAATAACATTAAAGATGTTTATTTTATTATTTTTTTCTAATTCAATTTATTTCTTTCTATTACAGAATCAATCTAGTCAACGGATCTAATCAAGGGACACTCTCACCACAGCCGACCTCAATACGTGAGTAATAATTTTCCCATCAATATGTTATTTTTGATAATCAACATTTTAATTAAATCAAAACTGAATTTCCTTTTTCCGAATAGTCGAAATGTTTATTGTGAAACATTAATTAGATTTTCATTTAGTTTTCCGCGTTCCACAGTGGAAATTAATACTTTGCGTTGATGATCTGTGCAAAATTGTGAATTAAATACATATTTAGTACAGTGATAGGCATGATAATCATTAAAATATAAATTTTATGGAATGCGATAATGGATTGCGGTAAATGGATCTTATTTAATTGAGTTATTTTTATAACAATTATGGAATTTGTTCAATGCTCATAAATTGTGAATTATCAATATAAAATACTAGAAAACTAAGCGGTAATTCGAAATATTCGAGGCTAGATAATATAAATTTTATACAAAGGTTTGAAATTAAATCGAATTATTCATGGGGTAGGTGGAGCAAATGTCAATTTACTGACAGACACACAGAGTTTCCGTTATTTATAATATATAGATTTTGATAAATGACTATTGTGAAGTTTCACAAGATGTGAGAAATTAAGCCTATTACAATTTTAAAATTCAAATGCTGAATTGGTAACTTGGGCACAATCAGTCAAAATATAACTTAATATAAGACAACAAAAAGTTACTTTTATGATAACATTGTTATTTGTACCATTTGGAGGTTAGGTTTGATATGATATGATGTACTAGTAATGATTAATAATTCAAACTTTTCATCATTGCATCAGTTTTTTGGACTCTTGGTAATTAAAAAGTTTACATCAACTACTAGTACTAAGTTCATACTAGCTATTGTAGTTATTGTTAATTATGATTCTATTAAATTTTGGAAAATATATGGTATAACTGCACGTTATTTTATTAGTTTCTCGTACCTAAAATAAAAACTCCGGAATATAAAAATGATTACTCTTGGTCGATGATTATTTAGTTATCATTAGATGAATGGTTGAAAGTAGGTATGATAAACTAGTGTTGAAATAATAGGTTTTTTTGGTGAACATATATTCATTGCCAATCAAAATATACATAATTTTTTAAGACAATATGTTGTTCTTTATGCCTTCTAAGAGTTTATCTACAATGCGACATCTTTGTTTGACATTTTGTTTAAGATCGTATGGCAATTTTTTTTCATCTTTGAGGAGATTCCTCACTCAGTTCGTTTAAATATTTGTTTGGATGACCTGGTAATTCTAAATGAAACAAAAGGTGAATGAACATTTATCCCAAATCGACTATTCTTGCCTTGGCTAAAAACCAATAAGATCAGGAATATAACTCAGTTTATTTTTTAACTTCTCGTGGAGTAAGTTAAAGTAATCGCAAAAAAATCATAAATGAAAATTTTTGCATATCTTCATATTTTGAAGGTTTCTGAACATTTTGGCATACCTTATTATTAGAAAAAATGGATGAATGTGTGTGTGCGCGCGTGTGTGTGCGGATACAAATTTTCGTCGACGATTTTGCGAACACGGACAAATCGATTTGAATAATTCAAAAAGTATTCGATTTCTACTGATAAGGAGACGTGCTGATTAGTTTTTGGCAAAGGCAGGTCTAACCATTCTGCAGATACGGGGCAAAAAGTGTCAAAAACGGTATTTCAGTTTTTGAGATAATGGAGCGTCTGATTTAAATAATTCAAAAAATATTTTACTTGTATTGACAAAATGAACAACTGGTGAAATTTTTGTGAGGCAGGTCCAGCGTCTTGCTTAAAAAAATTTCAAAATTTTCAAAATAAATCAAAATACAAAAAAATCAAATTTTTCAAAAAAGTCAAATTTTTTCAAAAATTTTAAAATTTCTCAAAAAATTATTCTTTTCAAAGTTCTGCTAAGTTTATTTTTAATAATTTTGTTTTCGGTACAGGAAGTTCCAGCAATTTGCCTTAAAGCACCACTAGTTTTATAATTATTTTGAGAGTCTTATTTTACTTAATACTAGTAGGTTTTCTCAGATGGCACGCAAGCAGTTGTCCTATCTCTGTGTGATGAATTTATTATTACAATTTCTGTAATATGACGAATATTTATTGATGCAGCCATGCCGTATCAGGGCTATTTCCACTTGGAAACATATTGCTGTCTATATTTCCAAATATATTGTCACTACTGCTTGACAACAGGCTGGTCGAGCGCGGGACCTCTAATTCAGATCCAGTAGTTCAAGCCCTTACATATGAGCGAGTCCTGTTGATCTATTAAAAATTGATTTAATTCCATTAATTAGGACTTAGGAAGTTAATTTATGTGCAAATGGATTATTTATTCACAATTAAGAGTTTATATAAAAAGTGGGCAAATGGGTTTAAACCGACTTGAAAATAACATGTCATATAAATAATTTTATTATTCAATTCATTATCGTACGACATAATGGTGTTGACGGATTATTTAATGGACCCAATATACTCGGAAACACCTGTCGAAATCTGTGTAACTGGGCGTAATCTAACCGTAACCGCCAATAACGTGGAATTAGGCATCGAATGCAACATTTATGGCCGTGTGAGCACAACTGGTATAAAAGCAGACAAAATTATACGATATCGGATAATAATTATTGCCTTGATTGGGTTTCCATAAATTTTTGCGCAACCGATGCACACGAACCAGACTTTGATGTCATCAGAGCCGTTCAATTAATAACCTTTAACTCGTCGGGTCGCATCAAATATCCGAATATTTATGTAAATTATATCATATTGAATTATATGTTTACAGCAGCGCTTTTATAGATCATTAATAGTGAATGTTGTCAATGCAGGACCATGAAAGTTTTAAGTGCGACTCGTTAAAAGTTTACTATTTAAATCGTTCAAATCGTGATTGTATGATACAAACGGATAGAACATAAATGCGAATGGCATTTCATATCGGGCATCAGGCATCAGGCATCGGGCGCCGATGCGATGGCTCAACAACTTGCTTATGAATTTAGTCAGAGTCGAAACAATATTATTCCATGGCGGTATTCAAAGGATTTACAAAGTTTCATTTAACATGTTGTAATGTAGTTAATTAAATGCCTGTGTAATGAAACAGCGTTTCAGCTTTTCTTATTAAGCGGAGCATCTCGCTCGCATCGAAAATTTTAATATGGAAAACAATGGTGAAAAATTAAAATTGTTATGCAACTTAATCAATTCTTTCTTTGATAACGCTTGGTATTAAACATCATTTGAGAGACTTTTAGAACTAGATTACATACATAATAATAAAGGCATCCAAATATTTATTAACTCGTATTCTTAATTTTATAATTCAATTCGTTAACTGACCTTATATTGGATACGACAAAGAATAGAGATAAATTTTATATAAAGAGATTTTATAGATTGTATTTTAATACACATATTTTTATACAATCAAATGTTTGGAAAAAATATTACTTTTTTGTACGAAAAATAGCAGCTCTGTTAATATTTTGGTGGTATTTCCTTGCAATTTTAGGAGGATTAAAAAAGTAGTAGTAGTTATTTATCAAAATAATATGTTATATCGAAATTTATATGTTTTAAACCTAATTTAAATATATTGAGCGAAATTTCAAAGTTTAAATGTTTTAAGCTTTCAAATAGTCGACAAGGATAACTTCATCGAATTCTTGAATACTGAAAAAATATTAATAGGTTTCTTTTTTTTATTTGCAATGTAAATTGCAATCTGGTGTATGTTAGACATTTAGTAATTAGAATGATATAATGGCTTTAATGGCTATAGCTATAATAAATTTCACTAAAAAGTAGATAATCTAGCATTAATTAATAGATAAATAATAATAAATGGTAGTCTGCCCGAAGGCAGGTTCATGGTGTGAGAGCCACCACAATAAATGATTGCCTTGCCCTTCATCCCATTACCACTATTTCCTATCCCCATTTTTTATTTCATGTATTTTCCTTTCCAAACTTCTGTTTCCATGCTGCTTGATCATGTGCTTCGGCTTTCAGTTCCCTGTATTTTCTCTTCTCGCGTAAGTCGTCAATCGTCTGCATTCTTCTCCTTCCCATTCCTTTTGTTCCTTCTATTTTACCCTCGACGACGTCGTGTAGAAGGCACTCCTTTTGCAAAAGAGGTCCGATCCAGTTTCCTTTCCTTCTCAGAATTGTGCTCAGTAGAGTCCTTTCTTCGCCCACTTTTCTCAGGACTTCTTCAAATTAATAAATAGTAAATAAAAATAATCAAAAGTTATAAATGTAAATTCATACGTAGACTGCTGCGTCAATTTTATAAAATGTGGCAAAAATGCAATTCTATTTAATGCATTGTATTATTACGAGATAACTCATAGTTGACGTCAAAGAAAGGAGCGGAGTCTATGAGTTATCTCGTACTTTAAAGTGTTAAATATAATAGAATGAATACTTGTATAGCAATAGCCATAAACAAGTGTATAAATGAAAACAATATAAGACAAAATGAAAATGAAAATATTCACATACAACCAGCTAGAACAAAAAAAAACAAGTTGGGATGCTGTCTAATAAAGTTCAATAAAGATAATAAGATGATTGAAGAAGAGATTAATTTTAAAAAAAGGTACAAATATTGTAAAGAAAACTATGATAAATAAAACCAATTTATGTATGATTATATATAAACGAGTGAAAGTGGTACAAGTGTTGTGATCATATATCAATAATGAAACATATTATAGGTCTACCGAGAAGTTCTGTCTTAATCTATGGTATCATTTTCACCACTTGTTTATTTCATATTCGATTTTTTTATATTTTTTTAACTTCCCATAGGGTAAGTTATAGCAATTGCTGAAAAATCTAAAATAAAAAAAATTGTATATCTTTACGTTTCAGAAGTTTCTGAACATTTTGGCACTCCTTACAATTAGAAAAAATGTAAAAAATTTCATTTTTGATTATTTTTTGCGATTACTGTAACTTAGCGTCCAGTTAAAAAAGTTCAAAATTTTCAAAATATATAAATATAAGTATAATGCATGACCTTA